TGTGGAGTCCTTGCCCCCCAGGTTGTGGCACACACAATGAACACTTAAATAGAATTCAATAAAGCCCCTAACTGCTCCTTTTCCTGAACATGGCCAGGAGGACAGGGGCCCGCCTCAGTCTCCAAACGTGTACCTCTACGATCATCTGAGCTTGTGGATTGGCTTTTCAATGGCAGCTTTCTGGAGCATTCGGTGGGTTACCTATCTCGATCTGGAGCTGTCTGTGGAGATGGTCTATGTGTCTGCTCCCCAACAACCTGTTCCATGTGGCAGCTTCTGTGGATCATGGTGGACAGCTGGCCCCAGGGTGCCCTCGCCCCCGCATGGTTCTCTGACACCCCCCCCCCGGAGCTGTTGTGTATTGGACTCCTGCTCACCAAGCACCTACTGTGGGTACAGTATGGTGCATCCTAGCTGGCTTCCACCTATACTTGTTAGCAGGGTTCTCTTGAGGGTTAAACCCAGCCTGCTCTCCACCCAGGAAGCTGGAGAATGCTTCTAAGAGGTGCCTCCCTATTGAAAGTATTTCTGTTGAAAACCCATCTCTGAGAGCAGTTCCCAGCAGGCTTCCTGGTTCCACTACACACTAACTCCTTGATCCTTCCTTCCCTCTCTCGCCTACTCTGCCCTGTGAGTCTCCTTCAGGTGGGCCTCCTGGGCACCCTATATTGTTTCCCTTAGTGTCTGATTTTCTTTACCTTGAGTTTTCTGTGTCATCGTAGCCTATGGCTCTAACCTCAGAAGGGTTCTTGTTCTGGTAAGCAGGACAAGACAGAGCAGTCCAAGACAGCGTGGATGCTTCTAGAGCTGGCTCGCTGGCTATCTGCCCGGAGCTTCTGGGAGCCTGTCTGCTCATGATGGTCTCCTGGGGCCTGGCAGGCGGGGCAGTCACATCCTGACAGTTGTCGCTGCTAACTCTACTGCAGCAGAGAGCACTGTGAGGGCATCTCGTGTTGACATGTAAGTCCGGTCCCTGGTTGTCCTTGCAGACCTCTGGCTCTCACCGATGGAGAAAGAGACCTGAGACCCAGTCCTCACCCACTGTCTGATCCCCCTTCTCATAGGCCAGGCTTTGTTTTGCCCCCTAACCCTCCTCCCCCTTTTCAGAAACCTCCTTTACCTCCACCATCCGTCAGTGTCTAAATGTGGTTAACTCGCTCCCACCTTAAAAGAAATGAGCTGCTGTGATCCCCATCTACCCTCTGCCCCCTCCTGGGCTGTGTGTCAGCCATTCCGAAGTAAGATTCATAGCAGAGAAATCAAAACCTGGTCCACTTCTACTTATTCGTGACTTTCCCTGTCTGGAGTCTGCCCTTGCTCAGCCCTCTAGCACAGGGCTCCAGGGCATTCTTCTCAGCCTTGACTGCATGTGCAGAAAACAAAACAAAACAAACAAACAGAGGTGAGAGTGTAACTTAGTAAAAGAGTGCTTACCAGTCTGCTCAAGGCCCTGGCTCCCATCGCCAGCACCCGCAAAATGAGGACTGGGACATGGATGTCTTCCCAACACTGCCTCAGTACCCTGAAGGGCTCATAAAGCCATGTCTTAGACTCAGGGGCATCACTGTGTCCTCCTCGCCTTGACCTCTGGCAGGGCCTGGCTGTATGAGATTCCTGGGGCAGTTGTAACAGGTGATCACATACTAAGTGGTTTTAAAGCCACAAACACCCTAGGCTCCATCCCCAGCACTGAAAAGACAAAATAAGTGCAGTGACATCTATCCCAAGCCCACCCTTCTGTAGGCCAGGAGTCTAAAATCAAAGTGCCTGCAGGGCGGCGCTCACCGTAAAAGCTCAGGGAATCAGCCCCTTGCTTTTCCAGCCTCTGCTGGTGTCAGGCATTCCAGGCTTATGGCCTCATGGATCCGATCTCTGCCTCTGTGGTCACACTGTTGCTTCTTGTCCTGAGTGTGAAAACACCTGTGCCTCTCTCTGCTCCTAGGAGAGGAGAGTACATGCAGGCCCCACTCAGAGAGTCCAGGGTAAGCTTGCCTGTGATGGATTGTGGATGATTCCATGTTACCATCTAAGGTCCTGCTTATGCTGGTTCTAGGGCTTTCGATGTAGGCAGCTCGGGGAGCCATGGTTGGCCCAGTGTTCCTACCCGGGGAGGTCACTGCTCCTCCTTGATAAGCCTGGTAGATTGGCCTCTATATGCCATGGCCTCCAGTCTCCTCCTACCTCTGACCTCTATTCCCCAGGCTCTGCCTCCCCTGCACTAAGTGCTGGCTTAAGCCAAGGCCTGGTCCAAGACTCCGGCTTCAAGTTCTTGTCTGTGGTGGCCTCTCTTAGCCACCCTCTCTTGCCAGCTTTACACCTTATGCTGTCCTCTCTGGCCTTTTACAAGGAAGCCCATCTTTTTGTGGTCATACAACCCCACTGGGTGGTGCTGCTCTAGGGTTCCCGGTCTCAGCGGTCCCTTCCTCCCACACACCCCCATTTCCCGTGTTGCAGGGCCTTTGCACAAACTGCTGTCTCCACCTGAAATGCTCTCTGTTTGTCTCCTCACCGTCACTTGCCCATTTGGTTCCTTTGTGTCCTTCAGCACTTGGTTCAGATTTGCCCGGAGGCTGTTTGCTGCCTAGCTAAGTTTGTGGGTTGCTGTCTTTGACGGCACAATTAATGTTTCCTGTGGGACCATCTTGGTTTATAACTATATATTTATCCACATGCTCCTAGTTTGTCCCCTGCTGCTCTGTGCATGCCAAAGGAACAAGACAAGACTCTGTCTTTTTTGCTTTCAAGCAGGAGCTTCACTATTTTTACTCAAATGAAAACTCTAAGTGCTGGGCATGGTGGCTTTCATGCTCATAATCCTAATACTCGGCTCAGCAAGCTAATGCAGGAGGATTGCAGGTTTGAGGCCAGCATATGTTAATATTGATCTCATGCTAGCTCAGGCTATATAGTGAGATTCTCTCAGACAACAATTTGAGAGATAAAGGATCAGGAAGACCAGGGTTCAAGTCATTCTTGGCTATAGAGTGAATTTGGGACTACATAAGACTGTTTAAAAAAAAAAAATAGATGGCAAGATTTTAGCATCTTAGCTACCTAGAGCTTCATGATGGACCACCCACATGATTCATGAAGACCTAGGGGAAAGGTGTACTCTTCTCTCCATGTGGCATGAGAACCCAGAGGCACAAGGAGGTATCTTTCTCCAGATTGCAAAGGCGTGAGCAGAGGCTGGCTCCCACCGTGTGTGATGCCCTCCCAGCCATGTGGCCCTGGCTTCTGGGTGGATAACACCTCACTCCAGCCTAGGGTAAGAATGTAGAGGCTCAGAGAGGTGCAGTTGCTTGCTTTAGGTAACATAGCTCCATGGGCAGGGGGCTTCGGGGTTCCAGTGTTGAACATATTTGGAGACTCAAACTGTTAACAAGGTGGATGGCCTTAGGAATGCTGGTCACTGTAAGGACTTGTCTGCTAGAGGCTTTGTCACCTCTGCTCGCTGTTTCCCTGGTTTCTTCTGCTGGAAGCAGGCTCCGTGAGAGTTCCTGGCACGGTCCCTTGGGCCAGCAGTTCCTAGATGCTCCTCCTCCCAGCCATGTCTGCCACCCTTCTTATCAAGGTCACCAATTTCCAGATTTGACCACACCTTGGGAAAATGCACTTCAGGGTCTTCCTTGGTCCAGGAAGTTTCCTCCATGACCTGGACCAGGCAGATACAAAGTTCCTTAGGTCACTGGTTCCTGGCACCTGTTGTACCTCTTAACAGCTGGTGGAAAACATCGTGTCCCAGAGGCTGTGGCTGCTTCCTTTGGGCCACACCTATCCACAGTCACTATCTAAACTCTTTGTCATAGTTTTTGTAGAACAGCATATTATCCTGTGCTGTTTGGTTGAATCGTAGGCCCAAAGAGGCCAAACAACTGAGATCAGCCAGAAAAGGGTAGAGCAGGGAGCCTAAACAAATGGACTCTCTCCAAAGCCCCTGCTTGTGGTCTTGGCTCTGTGTACAAGGTGTTGTAAATGGAACTGGGAAAATAGGGGATGATCACCAAGACCCTTCCTAGGATTAGAAAGACTTAGTTGCCAAATGTGTTGCCTGCTAAGGTAGGCTGGACTAGCACCCATTTGTGACACCCAGCATGGTGTTCTGTATTTGCATTTACTTTGCAGTGCTAGGCATGGAGTGCAGGATCTTGCACATCCAAGTCTGTACTCTACCACAGAGCTGTACCCTCCAGTGGACTGGAGTCTTTTTATTACACACACACACACACACACACACAAAGAGAGAGAGAGAGAGAGAGAGAGAGAGAGAGAGAGAGACATGCACGTATGAGTGAGTGAGTGTATGTTTGCATGTGGAGGCCAGAGGTCAATATCAGGTGTCATTCCTAAAGTGCCACCCACCTTATTTCTTGAGACAGGTTCTCACACGGGGACCCAAGGGCTTACCAATTAGGGCTAACTGGCTAGTGAGCACCAGAGATCCTCCCATCTCCATCCCCCCTGCTCTGGAATCACAAGTGTGCACCACCACACTTTTTATGTGGGTGCTAAACGAGCTCAAGCAACCCCTCATGCTTGTGCAGCAATGCTTTGTAAACAGAGCCTGGCTGTTGAGGTGTCTGCATTTAGCTATTCCGGTTAAATTGGAGAGGTGGCTGAGAGCAGCAGCTCTGGTGGGGTGGTGATTGGCTCCCACCGGGCCCGTGGTTGTCCTCATGGTTCTGATCACAAATTTGGGAACTGGATTGGGGTTAGAATGATGATTCTGCAGCTCCCCAGCTGTAGCTAAGGCAAGAGCTGCGGCCCTGCTTCTTTTTCTTGCTACATGACTTTGGACAAGGCATTTATTCTGAGCTGTGAACTACATAGCACAAGCACTTGCCATCCTCCTCCCCCACACACACACACAGGTGGGCTTAAGCAAGAGCATCCATGTAAAGAATTGAAGAGATGTATTGATTAAGTGTCCGGGAAAAGGGGGCTTCTGAAGGGGTCTTCAGTCTCTGTGGTGTCTCATGTTCTTTCTCTGCCCCTTGCAGGTAGAGCTGCATGTCCACCTGGATGGAGCCATCAAGCTGGAAACCATCTTATACTATGCCAAGTAAGTCCATGGACAGCCACCATCCTCTCCAGGGTCCAGTGCAACGTACAGCACTTCTTGGGGGCCCCTGGAGATTTCCAGAACTCTGTTCACCCCTTGTGGGAGTCAAGCCAGCCCTTGATGGAAGTTGGTGGTATCCTGGGATCTTTCTGCTCCAGCCTCCACAGGACAGGGTTTTAGTTCAGGGGTCTGGTAGAGTCTGTGCTACTGTCAACCAGAGATTTCTGTAAAGTAAGGCCTGGAAAAGAAGTAGCTCAGTGCACATTAGGATGCCCTATAAAGGTCACTCCCAGATGTCACTATCCGCATCTGTGGCTCCAGTGTCAGGGGGATGCATCTGGCCTTATCACTGTGGTCTTTGGTCATTTGGAGCTGGTAGTTACTGCCACAGGGCCTTAGTCATTTGGGGAGGGACACTAAGATGGGTTCTAATCAGGTATTAGTAAATGGTCCAAGAAGGCTCATTAGTCAGGTCAAGAAGGCATAAGTATCCCTGAGTGAGAGAGCAAGAAATGGGTACTGGGGACACTGGTGTGACTTTTTTTCTAGCTTCACTGAGCTCTAGAGGGTGCCTTGGAATCTTCAGGCAGCAGAGAAGAGGGCCTGGCTTACCGTGCCCAAGCCAGTGACCCCTTCTCTGTCGTAGTGACTGTGTTGACAGCCATCTCTTCTTCCTCCAGTCCTGGGTTTCTGCCCTTCATAGTACCTCTTCCCTCCTTCCCAGGCTCCTCCACCACCCTGTGCTCTCTATAAAGCACATGCAGATCTAGTCTCCTCTGTTGCCACCATTGCACTTCTCTTGTCCATCCTGAAGTCTGTCTCCAGATGCTACCGCGGCCTCTCCATCCTCTGGGCTTTAGGGTTGCAGTCTGACCACTGTCTCTGAACATAGTTAGCAGTGTGTCCCCCTGAAGGCTCTCCCGGATCACCATGGCTGCACATGGCCTTAGGAAGGTAACTTAGGCAGGCTGGCCAGCAGCAAGCTTAACCTGGAGGGGCCAGGAGGTAATAAGAACCTGCCTTGTGGGTCAGGAGCATAGCTGGGGCAGGAACATATCCCCAAGGCAAATTATAGGGACCTGGGATTGGTGAGGATTCATCATACACAGGCTGGGGCACACAGACCTAGGTATTCCTTCTGGGAAACTACAGGCTCTAGGGCTTGTTTTATAGCTGTGCTAGGAATGGAACCCAGGGCTTCTGCATGCTGTGAAGCTAAAGTCTGAGCCCCTTAATATTCCCTTTTAAATACACACACACACACTCTCACACACACACCACTTACACATGCATACTCACACACACACACAGCACTCACACTCACACATGCACACTCACATACACACCAATAATAATAATGATCATGGTGATAAAATAGGAGAAACCAAGGCCTAAAGGGCCACTGTGAACTGTAGCTAAGTCACATGGGTGGAGACAGCAGGAGGAGGAAGACACACCAAGTTCACACCAGCTTCCTTCCTTCAGTCCACGAGGAGGCAGAACTCCTGATGTAGAAAGAAGGCTCCAAGGCAAAGGTGTTGGGCAGGAATGGAGCAGAGTCCTGAGCTGAGTGGCCAGTACAGCTGATCTGTGCTGGGTGGAGTAGTCTGCTATGACATGCCAGGTGGGAAGGTAGAGCGAGAGGTCCTGAGAATTATGATACTGCACAGTAACTATGGTGTCTGATAGCTTCTGTCTGGGCATGTGTCCATCCATCTCTCCTGCCCCTGGACCTGATGACGAAGTCCTGGATTTACTCACCCTGGCATCAGCCAATCTGTTAGTCCCTTGACATGCATTGACTTGTCTCTGGCTATACCACCCTGAATGCATTTAATCTCAGAAGCCAAGCAGGGCCTGGCCTGGTGTGGACTTGGATGGGAAATGCGTGATTTGTTGTGGCTTCTGGCTACAAGCCTTGGAAGACCTCTACTCTGTTCTCTGGGCCTTGGAGTTCAGTTTCCTCATCTGTCCTAGGGGAGAAGCTAGATAAAATGGTCCCCTTGTTGTTTTTTTTTTTTTTTTTTTTTTTTCTGGGGCTACCAGTCTATTCTGTGCTGCCTTGGGAGGCCTGGTTGGATCCTGCCCTGGCATCTCATATTTTGTTTTCATTTGTTTGGTTTTTAAATGCAGTTTTAAAAATTCATTTTATGTATCTGAGTGTTTTGCCTGCAAGTATGTATGTATGTATGTATGTATGTATGTATGTATGTATGTGTAACACATGCATGCCTGATGCCTGCCAAGGATGCTGGAAGCCATCAGATCTCCTGGAACTGGAGTTATAGATGGCCGTGAGCCTCTGTGTGGGTCTCAGGAAGCAAACCAACATCTTTTGCAAGAGCAGTGAGTGCTCTTGCTCAATGAGCTGTGAATGCTCTTGCTCAGTGAGCCCTGGCTGCAGCCCCTCACCTTCCGTTTTATTTTCAGGAAGAGAGGCATCACCCTCCCAGCAGATACAGTGGAGGGGCTTCGCGACATCATCGGCATGGACAAGCCCCTTTCACTCCCAGGCTTCCTGGCAAAGTTTGATTACTACATGCCTGTTATTGCGTGAGTTGCTCTTGATCCTTGTGGCCCAGGGTAAACCTGTCCCTGTAACCAAGAGCAGACTGAGCCTCTGTAGAAGGCACTCTAAACCTCCATCCTTAATTCATACCATAGTGTGCTCCTGCCAATCTCCCCTATAGCTTTGGACTCCTAATCTCTTACCCCACCCAGAGGCAGAGGAGGCTCTGCTGAAGGCCTGTGCTGGTCAGGCTATGCGATGTCTTGTTCAGAACTCATTGCTCTTAAACACCTAATATCCCTAGACCCATGCCACTATAACAGAGAAGAAGCCCGTGATCTAGGTCAAGAAAAGACATGGTGCAGAGCAGGGTAGTGCCTGAATCAGGTTCCCCATGCCCCAGGCTACAGCTTTGGAGGGGAGGCCAGGCCAGGCACTGGAGTGGGAATTGGAGGTAGAGTTGGGTTTTTCATTGATATCTTGGGTCACTGCTTCATCGAGGACCATTACTAGTCTCTGAAAAGGTCCATGAATTGTCTATCATTGGAGAGTGTCAGACAGAGAAAAGACTAAGCCACCTTCTGACCCAAATTTACCCGCTTCTCTTGTGTCCCTCAGAGCAAACACCAAAAGCCACATGCCAGGTGCACACGCCAGGTGCAATCACAACTTTACAATTTTGAGCCCTTGCTTTCAGCAGATGCTGACTCCTCCCCTGCCCTGGGGACTAACCTACCCCAGCCTCAGGTCCTCTGCCTTTGTTCTCTCTGCCTGGAATGCTGTTCCCTAGAAAGCCTTGCTGACCATGTTGTGATATACACACCACCCCCTGGTTTTATCCGTCTCGATAGTGTTCCTGTCTGGTGGATTATGTTTTCCCTTTACCTGGCTCTTCTGCCAGACGGTAACCAAAAGGCAGGGATCGTAGCTCCTCCTCACTGTGTAATAAGGGTCTGGGACCAGTATGAGGGCTCAGTGGGATCCTAGCTCCTGTTCAGTGTGTACTAAGAAGGGTCTGGGTCTGGCTTGAGGTCTCAGTATTATGCACTTGAAGAATGAATAGAACTGCAGCTATGGGAGACCTGTGGGGTCTGTGGCTGGGAAAGGCAGAGAGCAAGCCCCTCCCTATGCAAGAGCTTAGACCCAGATCCCCATCATCCATTGAACCTCCTCCTGGGAGTGACCCATTTCCCCAGAGCTGGGCCCTTTGTTCTCACCCAAGGGCTCTGGGGCACTTGCTTGCCTTCTCTTGCTCATTCTCCTTGCTCTGGAGGAAGTCCTAACTAGGACAGTCCATTAGCATTTGATCCGTGTTCACAGAGGCCCTCACAGGTCACTTTGTGTCCATGCTCATCAGCAGCAACCAAAACACTTCCAGCATCCAACCGATCACTTGTTGGCCTTTTGGCTGAGATCGAGTGTAACATTTGTCTGCCCAATCCAAGTGCTGGTCTAGTAAGGTTTCTGCTGTTTTGGTCATTTGTCCTCACAATAACCCTTTGATGTAAGTATCAGAGAGGGCAACTGACTAGCCCAGGATCACATGCCTGAATAGCATTTGTCCACTCCAGAGCCCTGGATTCAGCCATCTGTGCCCTTTTATCCTCCCTGCCAGCCTCACATCCATTACCCAACGAATATTTGACTGCTGTGTCCTAGCCCGTTCCTTGGATGAAGTGTCACAGCCACAACAAGATAAAGGAAGGGAACTTTGCCTAATGGGAGTCAAGGGGAGATGAGAAATGGCCCTAAAAAAAATGTGATGTCTAATGCCAGGTGGTGATCAGGGCATGGAGAAAGGATGCCCAGAGAGAAGGTTGCCTGAGGAGGCCTGGGCAGAGCCTTAAGCTGGCATTAGGTGGAGGCAGGCAGGGTGCTGGGGCAAGTGAGGAGTCCTGAGGGGGAGGGACAAGCTTGACAGTCCTTGGACAGAGGAAGAATGTGAAGCACAAGATGCCAGGGAAACTGGCGACTCTGTCATTGGGGCTGGCATGGAGTCCGCTCTTTCTACACAATTGGGGTGGGAGGGTGCTAGGTACATGCCCCGCCATTGAGCCATACCCATGAGCCCTACTTTACTTTTCATTTTAGATTTGGGGAGGGGGGAATCAGAGAATAACTTTCAGGAGTCTGTGTCCTCCTTCTACCCTGTGGAGCCTGGCAATCGGGCACCTTTTCCTACTGAGCCATCTCACTGGCCCTCCTGGTTTCCATCTCGATGCTGTGTAGAGAATGGAGCTCAAGGCAAACATGAGGACATGCCCGTTAGAGGCAGTCAATCACCCAAGGATGAAGGGAGCACAATGAGTTTGTTGTTCAGAAGTACGGTGCCAGGACTTGCCAGGTGGCTTGGGGCCTCTCTGCAGGTGCCCAGGTGGTGAGAGCTAGGTTGGATCTGGGGAGGGTTGCAGGCACCTGTTTGCTACTGGAGTTCCCAGAGTTGAAGAAGGTTGTTGCCAGCTTGTCTTTCTCCCTTCCCAGGGGCTGCAGGGAAGCCATCAAAAGGATCGCCTATGAGTTTGTGGAGATGAAGGCAAAGGAGGGTGTGGTGTATGTGGAAGTTCGCTATAGCCCACACCTGCTGGCCAACTCCAAAGTGGACCCAATCCCCTGGAACCAGACTGAGTGAGTAACAACACTGGAGGGAGCTGTGCTGGAGTGGGGCTGCATTGCCCAGCTGAGGAGAGGATGGAGTGCTCAGAGCCCTGGCCTTGGCCTGGTCCACGGACTCCGCTCAGTGGGAGGAGGCGTGATTCCTATCCCTCTGCTTGTGGCTAGATCTCTGCCTTAAGTGGAATGTTTGGCTAGCTGCCCATGACTCTGCCTGGCTCAGCCAGTGACTTCTATAGAGAGGCTTTGCTCAATGAATGAGGCTGGCCCGTTCCTATCTTCTAGTCTGGACCTCTCGCATCTTGAAATATCTTGGAGCCCCCTTGCTCCTTCACTGAGTCAAGATCCTGATACGTATAGAAAGTGGTAGTTCAACGGGCCCAAATTTAGCCCCCTCTCCATCTAGACATAGGGAGGGCTGACATCCCCACACTAGAATCCAGCAGTGCCCAGACAACTCTGAGGAAGTAGGCCACAGCATAGGGGCTTGAAATCATGTCCATGTGTCTCCTTGGAAGACAGTTCAGGGGCAAGGCTGCTCCTCCTTGCTCCAGTTCATGGCTGCCCATGGCCTTCCCTTGGCCTGAAGTCTTCCCTCCTCCTCTCCCCACACAGAGGGGACCTCACCCCTGATGAGGTTGTGGATCTTGTGAACCAGGGCCTGCAGGAGGGAGAGCAAGCATTCGGGGTCAAGGCCCGGTCCATACTGTGCTGTATGCGCCACCAACCCAGTGAGTATCACTATCCTGCCGGCTGCCTGATCTATCCCAGAATCCCCTACCCATGTGACATCAGTGAGCTCTCGCAGCTCTGGTGAGTCTCCCTAACAGAAAATGTAGGTCTTAACAACCATGTGACTGACAGGAAACTCACAGGCAAAGAAATTGAACAATAGGGAAACATCTAAGACCACAGGACTCTGTGGTTTGGCCAGGCCCTATCTGAGCCAGAGCCTCTTCTTGCATAGGTCTGGTTTCTGAGGTGTCTGGGATTCCTCCTCTCTTAGCAATATTGGTCAAACATCTAGGGCTCAGGCTTCAACCTGCAGAGCCCATTCTGTGACCTCAGGCAAGTCATATCACCTCTCTTGAGCTTTCACACCTCCTCCAGGGATGGTCACACTCACTCTGTGTCCCCACACTAAGCATTAGTGGGAACCAAAGCCAAGGGCTGATGTGAAGTTACAGGGTTTGCTATGACAGGGCATGGCCTGCATGCTTCTTCTCTAACCCTTGATGCAGCCTGGGGTTTGCACTCAATCATCAATCAGGCTTATGACTACCCACTGAGCCGTCTTGTAAGCCCGTATCATGATAACTGTATGGGGCCCTTAATATAAAAGTGCATGGTTTGTTAGCAATGAGTTTATATTCCTGTGAGTTATATTATGGCTACACATTAGGCTCTGTTTTCTCATTTCTGAGTGGAGGTAAGTCTGCCGTAGGTGTTGATAAGCACTGAGGGAGCAGCCTCTGTCTGTCTCAGTGGACCTTCACCATGTGCGGTGGTGGTGGTACCCCTCTGGGAAAGGGGATTGTGAGGCTTGGGTAGGGGAGATGCAACAGTCAGGATCTGAAGACAAGACACTGGATCTTATGTCTTCTCTGGACTCAGATGAGGGACAGCTGGGCAGCCCCACTCGCATACTGTCTGAGGATGTTCCATTGAACCTCTCTCCCAGACTGGTCCCTGGAGGTGTTGGAGCTGTGTAAGAAGTACCATCAGAAGACTGTGGTGGGGATTGACCTGGCTGGTGATGAGACCATCGAAGGAAGTAGCCTCTTCCCAGGCCATATGCAGGCCTATGAGGTGGGCCTGAGAAAGGGAAAGATGGTTCTCCGGGAGCTTGGAGCCTCTTGAGTCCCCAAGTGTGTCTTGGTTGGGGCTAGGGACTCAGAATATAAACAAAAGTCCCTGCATGGTGATGGGAGGGCTGTTTGAGTCTGCATCTGCCTGTGATTTGCTCTGTGACATTGGATGGAATTGCTGCTTCTCTGGGCCCCATTTCTTAGTTCTTGGTAGGCTTTTGTTTGTTTGTTTTTTTTTGTTTTTTGGGTCATATTAATCCAACTTTCTCGAGCTCCTCCCTAAAACAGTGTAAGTTTACTTTAGAATACTAGACAATGTGTTTAAACTCTTCAAATAGTATCCATGCACAGGAGATGCAGAGTAAGGATAGTTTCCACTCTGTTCATGACTTGGGAAATCAGGCCACACTGTCCTGTACTTAGTGAAGTAGCCTGAATCTGAGGACAGTCACACCTACTAAAACTTAGACTCCACTCCCTCACCCCCACCCCCAAAGTGTGGCAAAGACAGTGTTTTCTAGGAGCCTTTCAGAGCTACCCCTAACCTGTTTCTTCCCCTTCCAGGGGGCCGTGAAGAGTGGCATTCACCGAACCGTCCATGCTGGGGAGGTGGGCTCTGCTGAGGTTGTGCGACAGGTAAAGAACAGGGACCCTGAACCTCTTCTTCCTGGTTCGACACTATTGATGGACTTACCTCACCTCCTCTCTGCTTCTCCACAGGCTGTGGATGTACTCAAGACAAACAGGGTTGGACATGGCTACCACACACTGGAGGATCAGGCCCTCTATACGAGGCTACTACAAGAAAACATGCATTTCGAGGTGAGGGTCTGAGGCTGGGAGCTGTCTCTGGCTACCCCATGCCTTTTGGAAAGAGGCGGAGAATAGGCGAGCTGAGTGGGAGTGGCCAGATGGTGGAGGTTTCAAGGGCTTGAAGTAAGGGTGTCCTTGCAAATCTGGCTAGAATGGTAGGTACCACCGCAGGTGGTTCACCCCTCTGGGTGTGGCCTGAGGTCCACTATGCCAGCCACACACCTGCCCCTTGCAGGTCTGCCCCTGGTCCAGCTATCTCACAGGCGCCTGGGATCCCAAAACGGAGCACGCAGTTGTTCGGTGAGATCTGGTTCCTGGGGACCCGTTTGGTTTTCTTCTGAGAAAAGGAAGGGGAGGGAATGTAGGCATGGGTACCTGGTCATCCTGGTACTTAGTAATGAAGTCACGTTGGCTGGCTGGGAAACAGGCACTGCTGTCCCTGTCCAACGGATGAGGAATGTGAAGCTCAGATGTACAGACCCAGCTGTGGTCCCCACCTAAACTAGTAGAGCTGGGGTCCCAAAGGTCATCAGCCACAGCAGAACGCCTCCTCCCAAGAGAAGTTTCTACATTCTTGACTCCCAACTCTGTGTCCCGGTTGTGGGCAGATGAGTCTCTCTGTCTGGGTGTTTGCCGTTCTTGGTGCTGTCAGGCACTCCCCTGAATGCCAGCTTGAAGCTTTTCCCTGGAATGTCTGTCTCCTATACTACCTGGCTCTCATCAGCAACTAAGAACAAGAGCCTCCTGTGCTGTGACCAGGCCCTCATCAGGGTTCATGAGGACAAAGCTGTCTTCTAAGGCAGGATACAGATGGCAAGAACTTGGGCTGACGACAAGGCATAGGCCAGCAGTGGTCTATCAGCCAAGCTTACACAGATGGAAGGAGCATGCTCTGATGACAAGTTAGGCTTCCTGAGTACAGAGGCGCATGGGCACCTGTGGGACACCAAAGTGGCAGCTCCTGGAGGCACATGGGTCTATAGCACCCTGGCTAAAGGTTCAAATCATCTATGTGACTACAAAGGTTGAAGAACAAAGGCCCTAGGAAGATGATGGATTAAGAGGACTAAGGAGGGAACCCTTAACAGTGACATTAAGGGACAGGCAGAGACAGACAGGAGAGTCAAAAGCATGGTGTCAAGGACTAAGAAGACAAATGAGTGGGTAAGAGTGCTTGCTGTTGAAGCATGAGGACCAGGGTTCAGATTCCTAGCACCTACATGAGAGCCAGACGTGGCCATGCATACCCGTGACCTCACTACCAGGGAGGGGAATGGATACAGAATGATTGTTACAACTCGCTGGAGCTTCGTGCTCAGTGAGAGGCGCTGGCCCCAAAGAACAAGGTGGAGAGGAACCCAGAGGCCATCTTCCTCTAGCTCTGCGTACCCACAGACATGGGCATACACACAAACAGAAAACCGAAACAAAATTTTAAAGTATTTTTTAAAAAGAGTGTGGGGCAGAGAAATCCAAGAATGAATGGTGTTTTCTGGGACTGGTAAGATGGCTCATTTATGTCAAGGCGCTTGCTCCAAAGCATGACAACCCAATAACCTATACGGTAGAAGCAGAAAAATGACAGACACAAAATTGTCCTTTGACCTCCAAACATACACCATGATGTGCGCATCCACACCATAAATGAATAAAAATTTTAGAAGGGTTGAATACCGGGCTGGAGGCATGGCTCAGAGGCTGAGAGCACTGGTTGCTCTTGCAGCGGCCCCGAGTTCAATTCCCAGTAAGCACATGAGATGCTGTGCCCTCTTCTGGCATGCAGGAGTACATGCAGGCAGAACACCATATACATAATAAAACTTAAAAAACCAAACAAAAGAGGTATTGAATACTGCTATTCAAGCAAATAAGGTTGGAACTAGCAGAAACAAATCAAATTCAATAAGATGCTGGGCAGGGTTGTGCCAGGAAGTTTGTGATATGTTGAAGAGCCATCAGGCAAGGAACTGAAGCCTCCCTAGGAGAGGCAGGCAGGGTGCCAACCACACTCCAGTACTGAGAAGAGGAAGCCTATAGGACATGGTAGCTTCAGGGGCTGTTGCCTTCCCACCCTTCAAATGGCCCTCCTCCCTGGCTGTCAGTTCAGGCCATTCTTCTGCTTTGCCTCAGGGTTGGCAGGGCAGCTTTAGATCCGCTCCTGAGTTTTCTAAGTGTCCTCCTTGGTACATCATGCAACCGCCCATGTTGTCTAATGTTGTGTGAAGACTGAAGCGGGGATGGTTCTTGGAGTAAAGAGCTTCTTTTCCCCCTGCTGGCCGCTCTCCCAGCTTCAAGAAAGATCAGGCCAACTACTCACTCAACACAGATGACCCTCTCATCTTTAAGTCCACCCTGGACACTGACTACCAGATGACCAAACGGGACATGGGCTTGACTGAGGACGAATTCAAGCGACTGGTGAGTAGGTGTGAGCTGTGGCCCTGGCACTTGGCCCAGGTGTCTGTGTGAGGAATGCCTGGAACCTCTGGAGATCCACAGTGGGTTTGGTTTGACTGGCATGCCAAGCCGAGCCTAGCACCAAAGGCCTTCCACAGCAATGCCTTGGCACCGGCATCCCAGCTGAGGGACCAGGTGGCTTAGCCTTTGCTTGTGTTAGTCCCTCTCCTCAGAAAGTGTGTCTGGCTGTGGAAATTTTTTATGCCGTTTAGGTGGCTCCTATGCTGGGACCTTGGTCTTGGGTTCAGATGTCCTAAGTAAATCCCTGCAAGGGCCTCTGCCTGACATCTAACCTCCTCACATCTGCACAGAGTATGGGGGCCCATGGTCCCTGGTAGGGCTCATGCTGTCCTGTGGCTTACTTAATACAAGCCTCATTTTTGCCCTGGTGCACAATTGATACTCCCTTTCTTGCTCTTCTACTCCATTTTTCCCCCTTCTAGAACATCAATGCAGCAAAGTCGAGCTTCCTCCCCGAGGAAGAGAAGAAGGAAATTCTGGAACAACTCTACAAAGCATACCAATGGCCCCCACAGGCTGAAGGTACACTTCCGCAGGGGAACATCCCTGCCCTCTTCGACCTTATGTGTGTCTTTGTGTGTGGCTGGTAGAAGTCCTTGAGGGCTTGGGGGTCAACGCTGAGAGTAAGTGAGGACTGCCTGGCTTCTGGGCACAGCTGTCATTCAGCCTCTTGTCAGGGTAACTATTTCCTGAGCAGCTACTCTCTGGACAGGCTTTCTGAAGACTACTCCCAACCATCAGAGAAACCTGGAGAGTATGTGACCTGAACAAGCTGGCTGAGTCCTAGTTCCATGTGTCCCTTCATTTCTGTATATGGCCTTTGCAAGGCACACATTCCCTTCCTTGTATCCCCTGTCTTGCTATCTATAGAGGGCCTCAAATTCTGGGCTTTCCCCAATGTCTTACACATTATGAGTGGTCTGACCTTTCTACTTCTCCAACTTGACCAGCAGGGCAGGTCCCCTGAAGATGGCAAGGCCACTTTTCTGAGCCTCATCCTGTGGATGGAATCTGCACAACTCTGTGACACTCTTACCTTCATTCCTTCCAGACCTTGGAGTGGTCAAGTCTGTCCTCTGGTCAGGTGTTCCAGCTAGGGCCCAGGGGCCTTGCTAGTCGTGGGTATGAATCGGGAACCTTCCTTTAAGGGTAAAAATCTGTTGTTCAATAAAGCAGCTGGTGACTGGTATCTTGCAGCAAATGGTGAATGTGGCTGGCGTGCGTAAGAATGAAGAGCTCTGAGGCCCCACACAGGACACTGGGCTGGGAGGAGCCAGGACCTTCCCTCTAGAAGTGACATTTTCCCAGAGGTGTTTGAGCACACGCTCCTGAACTCTTGGCTTCTTTAATCAGAGTTCTTGGCAATTATTTTTAGTATTTTAAAGGCTTATTCATTTTTATGAAAACGGGTGTTTTGCCTGCATGTATGTATGCGCACAATGTGTGTGCCCGGTGCCAGAGGAGGCCAGAAGAGGGCATCATATCCCCTGGACCTAGGGTTTAGATAGTTTTAGCTGCCGTGCGCGCATGTGTGTTTCAGAGGACAACTTGTGAGTGCTGGTTCTCTCCTTCTACCTTATCAGTCCCAGGGGCTGAACTCAGGTTGTGAGGCTTGGCAGCAAGTTCCTTTACACACTGAGCCATGTCACAGGCCCCTTTCAGGCTGTGTGAGGATGGGGTGAGGAAAGGCTCATCGGATGCCAAGTGAGGGTTGTACCGGTCACTACAGGACAGGGCAGTAGCGGAGCCCTGCTGGCTGAGATGTGGGGGTGCAAGCCCAACTGTGCACCTGTGGTTAAAAGAAAGAATCTTAAGGCAGTCACACAAATCATCATTATTTATTTCCTGGGACCTCTTGGTACACTCTCTTGGTACAAAGGGCAAAGAATTGGTCAGTTAGTTTTGAGTCCAAATCCTTTCCCTACACCTGGATCTGTGAGGCTCCACAGGGGAACTTAGAGCTGCATAGAACATCAGAACTAAGCTTAAAACAAACCAAAACCAAAACAGAAAACAAGTGATTGTCAGCTCCCCCTTCTCTACTGAAAAAAGTTATGTTTTTAAAAAATGTAAAAGAGGCTTTAAAAAAGGGTTAGGAAGAGCTTTCTGGCGTAGGCTGGAGGGACGAATGGTGTGGGGACAGTCCCTGGCTCGAGCCCCGCCTAGCTGAATAAATAACATCCCGTGGTGATGGTGTACCTGGGCACCATGGGGAGGTGGAGGGACGGTGGAGCCTGTGGTATGGACAGAGGACTTTGCTGGAGTAGGGGCCACAGAGGCCTGGCTGGCCTGGGATATGGGCTCAGAGAAGAGGCTGCTGGGTTGTGCCAGGGCTCCCTTCCCAGAAGGACTACTCCCAACCATCAGAGGGCAGCAGGACTCTCTTGTAGCCTCGAGGATCAAGGCCAGACTCAAGACGAAGTGTTCGAATCACTGCTCTCAGGCTGGCTGCTGGCCTCCTTGTCTGGAGTACTTCCCTCTGCCTGTCCCTCTGCAGGGGAGAGGAGATGTACATTTTAGACACATTTACACACTGAAGCACAGGCGGTCTGGTAGATCCAGCCAAACTGCTCACTGTGGTCAGCATCTGGAGCAGGCTAAGTGCTGGGGCGGGGTGAACAAGGCCAGAGAGGCGTTAGCCTGCTGTCTCGTGTCTCACTCATACCATGGAAAGGCTGGCAGGGATGCTAGTATAGTAAAGGCCAGTTAAGGTCAGGGTTATGGACAGGTGCTAAAAGCATGAGATGAGCATGTGCTCTCTGGTGGTGAATGAACTGTGACAGGAAAGTTCCCAGCAAGAAGTGTGTGCTTAGTAAATAGGAATTTCATTGAGAACAGTATAGCAGACTCAATCAGTCCAGCTCAGGAGTGCCCACTATGGCCTGCACACCCCAAATAGAGGATGCACATATGGACGGCCTGACTCAGCCCACCACTGCCAGCCTCCAGCCAGAAACCTGGGCTGGGCTGAGGTGATGGACAGCAGTGGACTGAGAAGAGCAACCTGGCCTGCTCTCAAGTCCCTGGGTGACCTGGGTCTCCTCACTCTCCACTTCCTCAAGCCCCAATGGGAGACAGGGCCAGCAGCTTCTGCCTCACCTACCTGATGGCAGTGTACCCAGCTTATTGGCAGGCTGGCCCCACATGGCAGTCTTGGGCCGTAAATGCTAATGCAAGTAAATAGTGTGGACAGAGCTTGGCACTGTGGCTCAAGTATGTGCCAATTTGAGCCTGCCCAACATGAAACTACCTCCTCTGAGGATGGTGACTGAACCAAGGCTCTATTCCACAAGGTTCTTCTGGGCCTCTGGAGGCTTAACACCCATGACTGCAACCAAGGTAACATTTGCACTTTGAGCAAATTAGCTTTGACCCTTTGAACTCCATATGGTCTCTGCTCTGTTACTCCGTTGCTAGAGACTGCAGGCAAGTCACTTTGCAGTAACCAGCCTGTCAGGGACAAAGACTTTCTAAACAGACTGTGACCCTCACCTAGGTTGTCAAACTATGGAACCAATAGATCTCAAGAAATGAGGTATGCCCCAGGATCTGCTGAAGGAAAGCCTAAAGCCCAAGCCAACCAGAGGGGCTTTTCTCCTAGAAAGGGCTCTGCAACTTGTCAAATCCTAAGGACAGCGGACCCTAAACAGTGAAGGATCCATGATGGGCAGAACCACACCTTATACTGGACTGCTTAGCTATGCACAGCTCTGGCCTCTACTTGAACCTGCCCTCGTGACAGAGTCCCAAAGATGAACTTGAAAGGGTCACCTGATGTCCCTCCTCCCAAAGTGGCCATGCTGAATAAATTGCCTTTTCCTGTTCTTTGGCTCTTTAATTTTTTATATATACTTTTATTTTGCATATATGAGTGTTTTGCCTGCATTTATGTGTGTGTTTTGCTTTCATGTACATGTACCACATGCATGCATGGTATCTTTGGAAGCCAGAAGAGGGCACTGGATCTCCTGGAACTGGAGCTACATATAGTTGTGAGCAGTTACGTGGGTGCTGGGAGCCAAACTTGGGTCCTTTATACAAGCAGCAAGTGGTCTTAACCACTGAGCCACCACTCCAGCTCCTAATTTGGTTCCTATAATTGGCATATTCAAGACTGACATCTGAACCTGGCCAATTGGAGCATAGGATGTGACCCTAAGTCCTCTCTAACAATCACACCACCTCTGTGCCAGCCCCAGCTCCCCTAGCTGGGGAGAAGGTTCCCTCCTATCAGCCCCAGGGAAGAAAGAAACTGTGCTACCCAAGGTCAGTGGTCTCCATGGCTAGCCTGTGGTTCCTCTTCCTCTTAGGCAAAGAAAAGCAACATTTGCTCCTTGTCTGAGAAGACACTAGGGACAGACAAATTTGTACACAGCACACTGGAGAGTGCTGACACATCGAGCAGGCCACAGGCTTGGGGAGGCCACATAGCTAGAACCTCTTAAGCCTTTGAGGAATGTGGTCCTGTCCTACTCAGGTTGTGTGCATCAGCTCTTGCAAGTTGCAAGTGAAAAATTCTGAGGCCCTTGGTCTACTGGGTCAGAATCTCAGGGGTAGCATTTAAGGCTCTGTCCTCTGTCTCTGTGAGTCTGCTTGGCTCAGAAATGCCTGGAGACATTTTATTTTGAGACCTCCTCACAGAGGTTTCTCATAGCTGGTCACATTGCCCCAACTCTATAAAGGCGCTCCTATCCCCGGCAGCGAGCACTGGTCTGTCTTCATGTCTCCTTTTTAGATATCAGTCATGGTGGCTAGCAAACATCATGAATTGGGAGGACTCAGATACCACACAGACTCACAGTTAGGGCAACCAGTGTTGTGAGGGTCTGCACGAGGGGATCAGCAGCTCTGATGGCCAAGGAGGGTGAAAGGCAGCAAACAAAGCCGATTAGAGCTGAAGGGAGCAGAGAAGCCTTGAAGAAACCCTTGGCAGTGTGCCAAGTGTGCCAGCTGGACACTGCTCATTCAGCTAGGCAGTGAGCAGCCACTGAGTAAGAGCCTGTCACGTGCCAAACTCTGCTAGTCACAGAGGACACGAGACAGCCTGGGCGGGAACAGCTCAGCTCAGAGCGGGAAGGGGGGGGGTGTGATTACAGGACCATGGAGACAAAGGGAGAAAGGGGCGCCCCTGCTTGCTAGAGACCAGCTGTGGTCAGGGAAAGCCTCAGCATAAAAGATACCACAGTGAGAAGCAACCACCACGTGTGGACCATGAAGTTGCTGAAGAAGCCCACGACAGCTTCTGACGTTACTCTGGCTGGAAGAGAGCAAAAAGTGGGCCGTGAGAGCTGAAGCTGCGGAGGGATGTGGCACGAGCGTTATGGAGGTGTCCACACCCGAGCAGAAAGGAGGAAGCAGACAAGAGAGGCTAGGGCCTGGTACAGGAAAACTGGCTGAGGTTCTGAGGGGAAAGAGGCAGGGCACTCTCTCAAGGCACGGAGAATGTCATACTAACTTTAGTTGTTTGAAGGGTGAACCTAGGAAATTCCCAATTTCTCTTGGCCTCAGTTGACCTACCACATGAAAAGCTGGGTCCCTGCCCCCAACATCTTCTCTGTTCTGTCCCCCTAAGTCACTTCTGGGCATTGAGGATCAAGAACTCCAGACTGGGGCCACCCAGACAAAGACACTGTCAGGGTCCTGCAAGGACGGGGCTGCTCCTGGACGGACACGGGAGGAAACCACAATGTACTTGGGAAGTGGTATGTATGGCAAGCATGGCCTCGGGGCCTGCAGCAGGGAAGGAGGGGTCTATAGCTATCTGCAGAACAGAGGGAGAAGAGGCAGGGCTGTCCCAGGCACTACTGGGTGGTTCCTTTTGATCCCTTCATTGGGCCATTCAGCCTGTGGTCACCAACTGCCTGCCACATGCAGGAAGAACAGAGGCCCCTCTCTCCTGGAGAGCAAAGTCACAGAAATGAGACCTTTGAGGGTAATATGGCTGGGGCAGCACGTTAGCTCTCAGAGGAGCCTGCTAGGTTGCACCTGAGGGTAAAGGGACAGCAAGTGGCTCTAGCTCCATTGAGGGGATTTCTAGATGGGCAACAGTGAAGTAAAGGCCCTGACGAGGAAGCCCTAGCACCTTGACACAACTGACAAGGGTGAGTGGGGGAGGGGTGGGTAACAAGGCATGAGCACAGCCCAAGGCCAGCGCATGACTTCTGGGGAGCACTGGAGAGTATCTTGGCTCTGAGATGTTACCAGGGAGTCTGGGGCAGTAGCCTGACAGGACTGGATGGCTATCGAATCCTGCTGTCTCCTGTGCAAGAAGGGCAGGGACTCCTAGTGAACAGCAGGTAACATGGTAGCTATGGGGATGGCGAGATGAGGCAGAGGGAGTCAGGACATACACAGAGATCTGACAGGGCTTGTTGGTGGAGTGGGGGCAAGAGAAGGGAAGTGTCCTAAATGCTTGGTCCTAAATGCCCCCAGGACCACCAAGATGCTGGCATTCTCCAACCTAGACACTGGCTGGGCTCTGCCACTGATCATGGCCAGCCCAATTTAAATACACTTCTCTGAGAAGTGTGGGACCTGAAGACTAGCAAGAGCTAGCAGAGCACCTCCCCACCTGCCCACCGGGATGCTCGGCATTGGCTCTGACCTGCCCCCTCAAGTGCCAGCTCGCCCATGTCTCCAGCTAGCTTCCGCACGCTCACGGCCTCTGAGTCACCCTGGATATCGGGGACTGCATTCCGACGGCCTGTTCGGTCACAAGAGATGAAGTCCGAGTAGGAGGACTCGACCTCCATCATGCCTGTCGCATCGCTCCTCAGGCCTGTGGGGACAAGAGCAGGAGAGCAGAAGTGAGGTGATAATATTCTGACAAAATGACACAACTGCCTTTTCCACTGGAACTGAGCAGAAAGCACGGGAAAAAGCAACCAAAGCCACTGCAACCCCAGTTAGAATACTGTCTACATCTTATACAACAAACAGCATGGAGTCGGGTGACGGTGCATGACTATAATCCCAGCACTTGGGAGGCAGAGGCAAGATCTCTGTGAGCTCTAAGCTAGCCTGGTCTACAGAGTGAGTTCCAGAATGGCCAGGGCTATGTAGAGAAACCTTGTTTTATTAAAGAAAAAAAGAAAAGACAGAACATGTGCGAGGGGCAGAAAGATGGCTCGGTGGATAAAGGAGCTTGTCACCACACCTGATGACCTGAGTCCAATCCCCGGAAACCACGAGGTAGAGAGAGAACTGACTCCTGTAAATTGTCCTCTGGCCTACACACCTTTACACACACACACACACACACACACACACACACACACAGAGAGAGAGAGAGAGAGAGAGAGAGAGAGAGAGAGAGAGAGAGAGAGAGAGGTAAAAATATCTTTAAAAAGAACATGCATTCAGTCTTCATTCGAGGTAAATCTGATGACCAGCACTTCCACACTTAGCGTGTCATGAGCCTGGCACCATCTACAGAGGGAGAAAAGAACAAGCAAGCCTGTTTCCACCTCTCAGGGCTGAAAGTTCACTGCCTTCAGCTGCCATTGCTTAGGTCATGACCATGTAGCCAGGGCTTCAAGGGCGATACTCCATCAGGGTACCATGACTGTCAAGGGGGAGGAGGAGTAACGAGAGGCAAAGAGTGTCCTAAGAAAAAAGAACAGCAAGCCCCAAGACTCTAAGGAAGAACAAAGGGGTAATGTGGAAAAGCAAAGAGGTCTTGCGGGAGGGGACAGTGACACCGAGAACATCCTGGAGGGTTTTAGGTAAGGTCCTGAGGACAAGCTGTACATTTCAAAGGCAATCCAATGCCCATGTAGAGCAGGGCCTGTATGGGAGTGAGTAAGGAGGCTTCTGGGAGGTCAGGTGTGAGAAGGCAGAGGGACCAAGCAGGCACAGACATGGATTCTAGACACAACCTGTGGAACAAGAATGTGGGCATATCTGGCTGAATTTGGTTTCTGACATGCATCAGGAGGTGGACAGAGGCATGACTACTGAAATAGGACCCACAGAGGAGCATTTTGGGATACCGGATGGGTGGAAAGCAACTGTTAATAGTTTTCTGGCTGGCTTCATTTCCCATGAGCCCTCCAGTGGGAAAAGCGGGGCAGGCACACGGAGGAGGCTGGAGTGGGTACAAAGGTGTGAAATTAGGAACACTACAGCCCTGTGGTGGACAACACTCTAAAGCAAAAAGAACCATGGATGTAAGGAGGGGACACCATGATTATTTAGGGACTGTTATTATTCATCATATGTACATGCTATACATCACAGTCTATTCTTTGGCGCAAAGGCCAGTTTCCGCACCTGTAAAATGAAGGTTGGGGTCAGGGGGGATTACATACTAATTCTGTGCAGTCCCCCCAGCATCCAGCAGATGGCACACCTCGTCTAGATTTCTTAGCTGTGGGGAGGGCCTGGGCTAAAGGAATTCCTGGAGGTGGCTCCTTCTGCTTGCTAGTCACTCTGCCCCCCCTTTCCTCTAGGGAAACTGTTCAAAGCCCCAGTCCCAGTAAATGGCTCATTGCAGTGGTGATGACACTGTAGTGACAAGAACAGATGACAATGCCACCAGTGTAAAGAGTGACAGGACACCACCAGGGCACGTTTTACATCCACCACTCTCAACGACCCCACCCAGTAAATAAGCACTGTGTGTGGCTTTATAACCTGACTTGGAAAGGTCTCGGGCAGATCCATGTGGCTCCTAGGCTCAGATGTTTCCCCACGTGGGCTGCCTATGAGATGGGTTAAACCCTGGGCAGCCCACACCATCTGTTGCAGCCAGTTTCCTCCATGAAAAGAGGGATTTGTGTCTGGATTTTCAATGCACCAGACTGAAAGGCCTGAGCTTGGCAACTGAGCCAACCTGCTCTGTTGCTTCCCTCCTTCCTTCCAAGATGCTGCACCTGCTACAGAGGAGTGCTCGCTCTATAAATAGACCTGGATCACATTGCTTTTCATCCATCCACCCACCCACCCATTCTCTCCTCCTGCTGCATATCTATGGGATGACAGAATGACTCCAGGGACTGCGGGGGGGGGGGGGGGGGGGAGGCTCCACCTGCCAGAGCGCTGCACTGTTTTTGCCTAGCTTCAGGATCTGACACCAGCAGATGGAGTTACCTGCTGAAATGAAGTGCCAGCCTCTCTCTGGGACACACTCCCTGGGGCTCTGACCCTACAAGCCACACAGACAGAAAGCTGATGCTGTTGGCACAGAGAAAGATCACTGCCAAGCCCCAAACCCAGTCCTGGAAAGCATCTGTCCCCATGCCTCAGGGAACAGTGAATCCAAAGACAGCTCTGGGGAGTTCTCAGCTCACACACAAAACCCAAGCTCACTTTTCTCCTCTTTTCCATCCTGTAGTGGCATAGGCTAAGGGGGCTAAGGGAGGATGATCTTCAGGTCCAGCTAGCCTGGGCTACACAGCAAGATCCTGTCTCAGCAAACATGAGGAAATGTTCCTGTATACTGTTAAGTAAAATAAAATCATACAATCACATAGACAAATATTTAAATTATGAGTGATCTTTAAGTACTTTATATTTTCTCTACACTTTTGAGACAAGGTCTCATGTAGCCAGCCCACAGTGGCCTTGAATTCACCATGTAACCACAGCTGGCCTTAAATTTCTCATCTCCCTGCCTCTATTTCCCAACTACTGGGATTACAGATGTGTACCACACCTGACTTACTTTTTAAGTTTTCTTTAGGGAAACTGTTATGTTCTTATTAGGGAAATTGTTATGTTCTTATTCATTATTATTACTGATGGAGATGTGACTAAAGGACTTCTGCATGTTAGGCATGAACTACAACCCTAGCCCATAAATGATCAAACTTTAAGATCTGTATGCAAGAGAAATAAACTCACAAGGTGCAAATGGAAAGATGCAAGAACTGGGGTATCCACTCTGGCCCAGACACTCTCCCCAAGCACAATAATCTTGGGTCCTTCCAGAAATGTCTGTGTCATAACAAGCTCCTTCCCTTCTTTTCTTTGTCCCTTAAAATTTTTGTAAACAAAATTTTCATTTACTTTTTATATCATTATTATGGTGTGTGTGTATGTGTGCACATGTGCATGCACGCGCACGCAGGTGTATGAGAGCCACACTGCCCATATGGCAGTCAGAGGACATCTTTGTGGAGCTCTCTTCCTGCGTGGTTCTGGGTGGTCAGAAGGTCAATGTGGTGAAAGATTTTGCCCACTAAGCCATTTTGCTGTGTGTCCTTTCTTTTCTTTTGAAGGGTCTCATGCTGTGGACCAGGATGGGCTGGAACTTACTATACACCTCAGGTGGGCCTCCAACTCCCAGATGGGCCTCCAACTCACAGCAATCCCCCCCTCCCCCGCTCTAGTGTGGGTGCCCATAAAGATAGCTACACTCCATCTTGACACAAGGGCAGAGAGTTCAAAGCTGTAAGTCACAAGACCTAAAGGTCAAAGGTGTGGCTACAGAAGGATGTTTCAGCTGTCTTAGTCTAAATAACAACAGACCTGAATCTGACAGTCAAGGCTAAGGAAGGAGAAGTTGAATCTGAGGTGTGGCTATTCCTGACCTCGAAGCTAAGAACAAGAAGTTGGAGCTAAGGTGTAGTAACTGAACCCTTAGAATAAGTGAGGAAGAAAAGTCTGTTTGTCCCATATACATGATACTATGTTCCCCTTTTTGGTTATGGTATATAAGAGTGAGGAAAAATAAACTTGTGGCATTTCAGTATTGACCTTTGGTCTATCTCTCTGTCTTTTCTTTATTGTCTGTAGCTAGCTTTTCCCTCATCCACATTCTCCCACTCAGGTACAGACTTGGGGCCACTCGGCTGGCTCTGACTGCAGCCCCACAAAGACCGCTCCGGACACTCTAGCTTCCCAGATACTAGGATTACAGGCTTGAACTACCATGTCTGGCCAAAACTTTATTTTTCATCTTGTTTTTCTTCATTCAGGCATATGTCTTAGAAAGAAGTCCAAATTGCCCTGAAACCTTGTAAAACGATTATATCAAAACACTAAAAATACACCCAAAGTCCTCCCAGCCCTCAGCTGGGTCACTGCTGCAGACCAATTTAATTCCTCCCCACCCCCAAGACCCAGAGCCTGTTTCCTTAAAAGCAGAAATGCCACATCAAAGGCTCTGTGCTTTTGCACTGTCCTAAGTCCTGCCCAGTTCTCCTCCACAGGCTGTTTTATTTTTGTTCCCATTTCAACCCATCTTGTGCTGCTAAAATAAAATACCTGCATCTGAACCATCCTCAGCCCCATGTTTCATGTGAGTGTACAATGTATACACAATCAAGATGTTAATGATTGCAGGCCATTCTTTTATAATCTCCCTCCCACAGGCCAAGCATGTTCTTTTCTGTTTCCCATTGTACTCTGAAGGGTTTTTCCCATGCCTGCATGCTCTGGGTGCTTTACTTACTGAACAGATAATGAACTGTTAATAGCCTGAGTCCTACTCCTGAGCAGCCAGGCTGGGCCACTGTTAGCACCATGTGCACAGGGCTCCTCTACACTCCACTGGGGAAATTAGGAAAACTGAAGTTGGAACGGATCAACTTCCTTCAACCTCTCAGCTTGCTCTTTCTCATTCTTGTAGGCAAGCACCTCAACTACTGGTGCTCCCATGCTGTCATCCACGCTCTTCTGTATTTCCTCTCGTCTCGGCACATCTCTCCATCCCATGACATGGCCATCCACCTGCTCAGCATTGACTCTCTCACACTGAGATAGACACCTGGGTGACACCAGTAGGAACAGCATCATTCTGTTCCTTCTCAGACCTCTCATTTATTCTTTCTCCTG